CACTTTATTGTCTGTTAGTGTTTGTTGAATCAGTCTGTTGTACAGATCAGACATGAACCCTGTTACACTTTATTGTCTGTTAGTGTTTGTTGAATTAGTCTGTCTTACAGATCACGTATGAACGTTGAATCAGTCTCTCGTACAGATCACACGTCAATGCTGTTAAACTTTATTGTCTTCTGCTAGGTAACTGTTGTGCACATCAATGCAACTTCCAAAAATGCTGCTGATGATAAGTTGCGACAAAGTCTACGCAGGTTTGCCCAGTCCTACCCACCTCCAGCAACAGTTGTGCTAGTATCTGGTGATATCAACTTTGCAGCAGAGTTGTCTGACTTGCGTCACAGACACAACTTGACCGTTATCTGTCTTCACAATGCTCAGGCTCATTCTGCTTTATTGGCTTGTGCTCATCAAGCTGAGAGATTTGATTTGTTTACTAATGACTTGCATCCAGTTAAAATACAAGCAAAGGTACCTTTAAGTTATAGACATTGCATGTTTTTAATGATTAATAATCTTATAGATATGATGATATGATTTTTTAAGGATGTCAGCATTACAAGTGCAGAGCTTAGTATTTTAAATCTTCCTGTTGGAAAAGATGTCACACAAATCAAAACAAGGCTTCACAAGTTATCAGATAACTGTGGAGGAAAGGTGACAAGTGTAACAGGCCGTACTGCTGTTATGAAGTTTCCTAATCAACAAAGTGCTGCAAGGTAGGTATTAAATATCAACACTTGACCCAGGTTTGATTTCCAGATTTGGTGTCTTGTGAATAAAATTTTTATGTGGTTCTCTCCTGTTTTTTGAGAGGTTTTTCTCTGAATTTTTCCCTTTATAGAACTACTTTAAGCTGATGTTACACAGGATTTTCACAACAACCATTTTTCATGATACGACTCGTCAATTTTTAATACATTACACAAGTCAACTTTTCGTGTAACGTTTGTTCGAAAATCAACATGTTACACAGGAAAAATTGTTGTTGCAAATTGTCCAGCGTGACATCAGCTTAATGATCACCACAGGTTTGTTAGCCACTTGGTAGTAAGTGCTATCTTTACGGRAAAAAAAMAACAAAAAACAAATGATTTTCTTTATGATTTTCAGAGCAAAAAAGCGCTTAGACAAAGAGGATGTTTTTGGTTCACTGATTGAAGTGAATCACACAGTGTCTAAGACAAGCTTAACTTCAAGCCCATTAAGAACAAAGAATAAGTTGCCCTCTGAAAAAATAGAGAAGCTAGATATGATGGGAGAGGTACCTGATGGAGTTACCAGGAGTATACCAGGCTCAAAGAAAGAAAAAAGGAAAACTACAGACCCATTAGTGCATTCAACACAATCATCTTTGATAAGAGACAAGCTTATACCACAGATGGATAGACATCATCAGTATTGTCAAAATGGACAGCTTGAAGAAGACCTTGAAGAAATTTTGTGTACTCCATCTAATATAAAAAACAATCCTTCTGTTACTTGCGTCTCTACATCAGGAACACAATCACTAACAATTAACCCATCGTGTAACTATGGAGCAATGTGGCAAAACCCTTTTTACCATGGTGTTGTGAATCTACCCTGCTCACAGATCCACACACAAGGGATTGGATACCCACTACCTTTACCAGTTATTGGACCACAACACATTACTGCCTCATGGTTGGCCAATCTGCATAACATGACAGTGTTGGAGCAACAGAAGGGAGGTGTTGATATTATGGTGAACAACCTAGATGAAAATGTCAGTAATAAAGAACTGAAGAAAAAGTTAGCATCTGTCTTTAGAGAGCACTGCAAGGTGAGATTCCTTACCATGAAATACCTTACATTGTACAAACAAGGGGGAAGGAATAGTGGCCGACAATCAGAATGTTGGACTATTTTTACACTGCAGCTCAATTTGATATCTTTAATATGTCTGGCTTTAAACATTTTTACAGGGTTACCTCTGATAAAACTGGTCATAAAATACCTTTTTTGATTTCTTGTTGACAAAATGGACATGTTGCGCAATAGTAACCAGGAGTCTTTGGGACCTTACCCAAGAGACCTTAGCTGGCTTCTGCTATAGGGTTCCAGTTTACAGTCCGGTCAATTAGCATGTGCCAGCTGTCAATAAAATAAATAAAATGAATCTTTTTTATTTATACACGGTATGCATTTAAGCTAGAAGCTTGTGGGGCCGTGTATCTTCCATACATACTCCTTACTACATTAGAATATTCTATACACACAACTCTCAACTCACATGTTGATTTTTACGGAGGGAGGAAACAGGCGACCACAGGGCTGGAACCAGCGACCTGTTGGACTCACAGCGGTGAAAGACGACGTGTTAGCTGCGAACGCCACCTATGCTACCCTATAATCGATCAATCAATCAATGTCAGCATGTTGCTAAATGATGAAGAGAGGGCAGAGCTAGCTGATCATGTGATGTAATTAAATGGCTACTGTATGCATTCTCTTTTTTGTTGACTTCTGTAATTCAATATAGCCGAACTAGAAATATTGATTTCCTGTTATTGTTAACAAGAATTAATAGCTAGATGATAAGGACTTCTAATAAGCAAGGATTTCTAAGAATTTTCAAACTTGATGGAAAATAGATTATTTTGATTTATGCTTCGATTCAGATATTCAAAGCAGTATTTTCTGTAATCAAAGATCAGTTCCAAGGGATAAGTTAGTCATGTTAAAGGGCAATGTGCCTGATCAATGGCTTCGACTTTTAAATTATTTTGCAAGGTTACCTGATATTTGAAAGGTATTTTGGTTCTGAAAGCTACTACAAATAAATAACAGGTACATATAAGTTTATTTGGGTTCTGATTTTATAGAGAGTAATAAATTGACGAAAATAGATGTCTAAAATGTGGCATCATCCACTGTTTTTAATATGCGTTTGTCATTCTAAACCGACTGCATGGATGGCGCAAATGAATGAATTATAATATAATTATGTCATTTCCCATGTGCCAATTCGGTCTCAGCTTTTATGTTCTATGTTTCTGAACCTGACAACAATTCTTCAATTGAGTGTATACCCAAATATATGTACATACAGATATACAATTGCCTTTTTTGTCTTTTCAGGTATATTCTGTTGTTGTACAAGCTGATGAAGGGTTAGCACTCTGTGCATTTGTTAAGGTTCCTAAACTCACTGATGCCCAGATTGCTGTTTCCAAGGTCAACAACCAAAAGATGTTTGGAACATTTATAAAAGCATCAATAGTAACTGAGAAAGAGAAGGAACTGTATTTCATGTCATGTGAAGTTATTTCTGTGTTGAAAGAAGCACCTTTAAAGTGGATGCCGTTAAACAAGTTTCTTGGTGTGTTTTATGAAAGGTGCTCTCATCCATTTGATATGGGTGTGCTAATGATGATTCCTGATCTAGTAACTGTTGTAGGCAAGCCAGGTACTGAGGCTATTGTTTTATCTACTGCTGCCATAAGTTCTGTTAAAGTTCTTGTAGACCCTTTAACATTCACAAAGGAAGTGCACATTCTCTTGAAACATCACAAAGGCAACTTGATTTTGGCTAATTTTGCTGCATCATATTGGTTGAAATATGGCAAAGAAATAGAAGTAGGGGACTCTGGGTTGCTTCTGCCAGATGCTCTACGAGCTGTTCCCAACGTTTGTATTGAAAGAGATGTGTCTGGTAAAGATGTGGTGACCTGGGCAAAACAAGGAATAGTTAATGGTAAGTTAGCATCTACATTTGTGTAAGAACATAATACATTCTAACGTTCGTTTTAATGGATTTGCACTAGGTGGAGTCCTTGACAAGCTTGTAGAACTATCACTTGAACTTGAGGAGCTTCTTAAAGCACAGCAGCAATTCCGACTACCACTAAGTCACTTAATATCTGCCTATCAAAAGTGGTTTAACAGGAAGTCACCTTTTGATCCTGTTAACTATGGATTTTTGTCTGTAAAAGATTTGCTTGAAGCTTTACCAACTGTTGTTAAGGTGTGTTTTATGATAAACTGCAAGCAGTCCAACTTTTCCCTCAGACTTAGTAAAGATGAGTTTTTAAAATACTAAGTTTTAGAATTCCTGTGGACACTTTGAGATAGTAGTTAAGTAGGTGGGGTGCAAGGAGAGGAAAAGCAGGGTTAGCCCCCACTCCCCATGGTACTAATGCAGAGCTAGCCCCCACTCCCCATGGTACTAATGCAGGGCTAGCCCCCGCTCCCCATGGTACTAATGCGGGGCTAGCCCCCACTCCCCATGCTACTAATGCGGGGCTAGCCCCCACTCCCCATGCTGCTAATGCAGGGCTAGCCACCACTCCCCATGGTACTAATGCAGGGGTAGCCCCCACTCCCCATGGTACTTATGCAGGGCTACCCCCCACTCCCCATGGTACTAATGCAGGGTTAGCCCCCACTCCCCATGGTAATAATGCAGGGAAGTAAACCCTACTCATTTAGTTAGGAGGGAAAGGAGGGACTGTTAAAGTCTAGTTTTGTGATGTTACATACAGTTTATTGATCCCTGTTTAGTGGGCAGGGGATTATATTTGAGGACTCTATATGGGCCATGTTCTTTGTACTGAGTACTATATAAGGAAGCACTGGTGCTACTACTGTGACAGTCATACCACAGCTAAATTACAATAGCGCTGCGCAATGCTTCTAAAAATAGCTTAAAGYTTCGGACAAACATTACATTCTGTTTAACCGCTATGAGGATTTTACGATGCGATTTTATTATTTTTACTTAAAGTTACAATAATAACCAGTGTTAACTAAGATCAACTGTGATCGGCTGTGAAAATTATCTGCTGAAAGTAAACTTGTAAGTTTGTTTGTCCCAATTTCGCCTTTGTCTTCGTTTTTATGACGTCACAGTTGTGCTGTGCTATTATAGTAGATAGATTACTGTTTAATACTGTAGAGGGAATATGTACCTTGATACGGTGTGCCCCAGTGGAGTGGACTAAATAGTTGTTTTGGTATTGACTTCAGATGGAAGAGGAAGGACTAGATAGATATGTGACACTCACACCTAACCTCAAGATCAAAGCCTTTAAGGAAGAAGTTAAGATTCTACTAGAGTCACATCCTAACTGCTGTCTTTCCTTGGATACTTTCATGACTTCCTACCAAAGCTGTTTTGGTCATAAATGTAGAATAGCTGATTATGGATTTGAGAATCTGATAGACCTAATTAGAAGTGTATCAGATGTTGCTAAGGTAGGTAGAAGATTCCAAAAGAATATTCTGATATCTGTGCAATTTGTTTTATTGCTGTGATGTGCTATATTCTTGTGTTGCAGTTGTCCAATCATGGGGTAAAGATAATGGTCGACCTCATTAGAAAAGGTAAAGCCATGGTTTTATAAAGTCTAAATATAAAATCTGTTTTTTTCTTATTTGTTTTACTAAGACAGACAACTAATATCCGTAACATAACAGTATTGTTAGAATCTTTTTTACACAGTGTTTAAGTTTCCTTTTTATTCACTTGTTGTATTTAACACACCAATGCTAGTCATCAGGTTATATTGATAATATCAAAAGAACTACATGTACATGTATATGATTGTTACCTTGCATCTTTTTGTCCCTATAGATGATACTGAAGTGGCTGACTTTCAAAATACTTTTAAAACTGTGTCTCATGAGGTAATTGAGTTATTGGCCTGTGAGAATATGCAACTCCATGTGTCTATGGTGATGAACAAGTATCATGAACACTTTGGCAAGAATTTGAGAATCAGTGAATGTGGGTTCACAAGACTGGAAGACCTACTTCGACATGTTTCTGGTGTACAGGTTGGTTGCATATACACTGTATCTATATATCATACATATCACCATTCCCTGCTAGCAGAGTCTCTCTTCTCTTTCTCTCCCTTCTTTCAGACGGGGAGGAAGGAGACTCTGCCGATGCAGAGCGTTTCCTTTGATACACCGCCGTCCACGATCCTGGACGAACGAAACCAGTTTTAAAACTGGTTTTTAACTGAGTACATGTTGTGCTCATGAGCAAATGTAACACACCATCGCGCCAAACGTTGTTTGACAAGAGCGGCTGTCAAAATCATGACAGCGTTGCTAAGTTACACCACACATGCGTGACAAAAATAACGACTTACATCGGCAGAGTCTATTTTTCTCACAACCAAAACAAAAGGAAAATAGGCTCTGCTAGCAGGGAAATATCACCGTAGCTATCTTATTGTTTTTCCAGGTGAATAATATTGGTGGTGAAATGTATGCAAGTCTAGAAGATGCGACTATTGAAAGAAATATTGTTGATTTAGTTAGTATACAAGATGGTGGTTTTGTAGCAGTGAGCCAACTACCATCCCTTTATCAGAAGCATTTTAACAAACAATTCACGCTTACGTCAGACCAATTAACAAACATAGTGAAGAATTCTAACAAGAAGTTGCAGGTAAAACATGTGAAAGAAGTATTTCTGTGGTTTTTAAACTAGGCTGGAGAGTTAAAATGAATGATGTGTTCTTGTTTGCTTGTAGATCATTGGTGTGGAAAATGATAAAATCATATGCTGTAATCAAAGATCAGAAAAGGGTTGGTGAATTATCAAACAATTGGGCAAATTATCTTTTTAACATCTTGACACATCATGGACGCTGGTTGGTTCAATTAAAGTATCAGGGTACCCCAAAATTGCTCAAAAGTATCAATTTTTACATTTTTACATTTTGCGATAAAATATATAATATATGATTTTCTTCCAAAAAAATTTCGATAGTGATTTTTAATAGCAAGTAATTAAAAAAATGGTTTGTGTCAACAAAGGCGCTTCCGCTCAGTCAGAAACATTTTTGCGTTTTTCTCGGAAGTGATTTTGCGTTCAGTTACCCGTACATTTTGAGTCCGATGTCAAAGGGAATTTAACAGATTTAACTGAAATTTTGAGGAAGTCATCTTGGATAGTTGTTCTTCAAAAGTGTGTCTCCAATTTTTGATTTTTTGCTTATTTCTAAAATTATTGTGGATTTTGGCTCGGATACAGCTGATATAGCAGCATCATAACTTTAGGAGCATATAAAAAAGCAACGGGGCAATTAATCAAAAATCGGAGAGTGATGTCTTGTGATCTTGGAAAGATAATAAGCATTGGTTTCCAATCATTACTGGCTGTCATCGAACTCCGTGAAGATACCACGGTGAAAATTTGAATAATTTGCTCTAACTTAAAAGGATAAATGTATTTTACAAAAAGGAAAAAAAGGAATAGTTTCTACATTTATTCAGCTTTCAGAAAATGTATACTTTGTTGAGGTTTTGATTAAAAGGTTTTGCGCTATTAAGAGTTGAAAGTACACTGGTTGCTAGGGGTACCCTGATACCTTATTAATTGAGCATTTGACTTTCATGCAGGAGGTCATGGTTGAAGTCCCTTACAGAACCAATGTTTTAGTATCTACATTTTAAAGAATTTAATGTTGCAATGTTTTATGGTTAATCAAATCACTAATAAACTTGTTTTATGATTTAGAACAACAGAGTCATGCTCTGAAGAAGTTAGCAACAGATCTTCAAAGCCTTTTAATAAGATTTCCTGGAGCTCGTGTTTCAAGATTAGCTCTTGCTGATATTTACAGTCATCACAGAGGACATGTAATCAAACCACAAAGATGGGGGTGCTCAAATCTGGATTCATTACTATTGGCTCTGTCAGACAGCATTGAGGTAAGATGCAAGAACCCAAAATGCTGTAATCATTAGCATATGCAGCTATGAATATTGAGTATATTTAGTCTGCTTATTCTCTGTCATCTCATAAACCAATTGTGGCTTGGCCATTGTATTCTAACCACAGGCATTCAGATCTCAGAGCCAGCTTGTACTAAAAAAGGTGGTCTCCTGCTCCTAATGACATGCAGCATGCAACGAAACATCATCTATAGTTTTTTGAAATAGCTGTTAGTAATTTGACCTGTTTTTCTGTACATTGGAGACATTTGAATAGTCGGGATACTTTTACGTACAAGAAATGCTTGATAAAATACAGTAGTATGGATAAACCTCAAACAAAGAATATTGCAGTTTTTCCTTCATATTTTAAACTTTACCTCTGTCATTTAATAAACAGCTAATTAAATAGATTTGTGAAAGTTATCATCTTACCACTACATACTGTTAAACTTTAGGTAATTGGAAGTGGAGATTTTGCAGCAGTATGTTTAAAGCAAGAATACGTGTTGCGATGTCTTGCTCGTGATTTAGTCAGTCTGCTGAGTGCAAAAACGGGCAAAAGTATCCTTATATCAAATCTACCTAAGGTGTACGAGAAACACTTTGGACATGCACTTTGTCTGGAGCATTATGGTTTTACCAATCTGTTGGATGTATTCAACTACATGTGTTCTGTTATCAAGGTCAGTTAATATTAATGATGATGATGATTTGTACTCATTTAGATGATAATTTGGCATGTTTTAGAGATTTTAAAATCAAAGTGAATAGAATTTCAAAGCCTCAGATAAATTTTGGTTTTGCAAAAATACTCTGTCTACAAGCATAATTTTGCATTTTATTCAATGACATAAAGGATAAGGAGTTAGGGCCACCTCCCAGCCATGAGTGGGGATGTCTTGGTATGAACGACATCTCAATGCAGAATCCAAGCCTGCTGTTACCCTACACCATAGGAAATACACATGTAGATTAAACATGCAGTGTATGATAGCAAGTGGGAAAGTAATACCTACAAATATACAACAGCTTTCCTGCATATTGATTGGCTGTATTTTCAATGGTGTGGGATAAATAGTAATAAGCAATGGGTCACTTATGTTGTAGCGTCATTTACTACCACTACAAGAATTCTTTGCACATTTTCTTTTGTTAGCAACGATTGTCTTACTATTCTCAAGGAAATACAAATAATTTAATAAGAAAGTAAATTTGCAAAGCATTTTAGTAGTGGTAATAAAATGACAATAATAATAATAATAATAATGATAATAAATCCTTTATTGAATAATAAACTGACATGTGATAAGAATATTTTTATAATTATAAAACAATAAAAAAAGAGAGATTATGAATATAAAATAACGAATATAAAATAACAAATATATGTACAAATTACTTATTTTATCGATGAAAACATACTTGTAAAATAAATTAATAGCTCAAAACACGAGTCCAGCTCTTCACACTGATATAATACTATATTAAGACTATACATTTATTATTATTAATAATAATAATAATAATAATAATAATAATAATAATAATAGTAATAGTAATAAGCTGAAGAAAGGATTGAAAAAAATAATGAACTTAACCAGCCTAGACTTAGTCCGCTGGTCAATGTAAACATGATATATACAGACAAATAAAACTTGCAATAATAGTAATAATAATAATAATAATAATAATAATAATAATAATAATAATAATAATAATAATAATAAATTATGATTTATATAGCAAAAAAGTAAAGAATCAAACTTTTAGCTCATGGCAATATAACAGTATAATACTAGTGCACAGAATGAGTGAGAGATCATCTGTAAATGTACAGGGAGCACTTTTAGCAAATATCTAATCGTTGATCATTATTTGAAATATTTTTTCCTAATGGTAATGAGGTGGGTGATGAACTAATTTATTGAATATTTGTTATTGGTTTAGGTAAATGGTGATGGAAAAAAAAGAATTTCTCTTACTTATCTTCAGTCATTCGCCATTGAAGCAAAGAAACTTCTGACTCATTATGAAGGTTGTATCTCCCTCAACCGGTTCGCTCCATGTTTTCAACAAYTCTTCAACAGACCACTTAAAGCAGCAGATTATGGTTATTCACGGCTGTCAGAAGTCATAATGGCAATACCACATGTGACTGAGTTGCGTGGCAAAGGTGCTGATAAAATGGTGGTATTACTAAAGAACACAGATGTACTGCTAGAATGCATTGGTTAGTTGTGTCATGTTGGTTGATATATATTACAAAATAGAGAAATCGTTGATCAGAATTAACATCATGTCAGTATGGTGTCTACCTTATTGATGTCAGCCATGAAGGGAGCAGCAACCCTGATCTTGCATTTGGGCCATTTTTGTAGCATGCAGTTTTTGTGTTCAGCGGGCATCACCTACTATGTTCAATCCATATTTCTGCTCAACACATGCATCAAGAGTTCTGCGCTATTGCTCTAAGCTCTTGAATGCTTAATGAAAATCGTGCTTGGTAAGAAAAATATAATTAAAGATAATTATTTAAAAAATTATTTTTACAACCCATGATCCTACTTTATGACCCTCAGAGCATGTGCTTAGAGCAATAGAGTGGAACTATGGATCGATCTATGGATGCATGTGTATAGACTGTTTGTTTATCAATGAAGCAAGCAAGTCATTTTAAGCTAAAACTTGTCAACTTATTAATTTTTTCAAAGATTTATTTATTTATTATTTATCTCGGAAATGATTTAACAACATTTTTACGGTAAAAGTAAAGCTATTTTATTAGCCTTTTTGACCCTTTTGTGGACATTGGCAACGATAAATTTATTGTGTCCTTGTCGAGCATAATTGACTTTATTTGGATGTTTTTATCAATTTGTACTACAAAAATCAGTGTTGTCCCTGAATGAAGTTAGTATTATATATTAAATACCAGCCTACTTTTGACCCGCATAACCTCTTTGTTTACCTTCCTATTGCTAAGCCATCTATTATGTATGCTTATATATTTACAAACAATAGATAACCACTTTCTTTTTCTATTGTAAGTGTTCAGTTTCTTATATATGATTGTAAGAGACAGCTATACTTGTTGTCAGTACCATTGTGGTCAGCTACACTATGACAAAAAAATCATATTTAGAGACAGGCATTAGATAAACAATATGCAG